AGTACCTACAAATGCAAAAGGGGACGAAGCTGATATCTTGAGTGGGAGATAAAGTTGATAAAAACCATTCCTATTCGGCCCTTGAAGAAGTATCATCCCGGTGCATCGATCCTTCACAAAAAAATCATGAGGGTGAAATTCAAAGTAGACATCATTATCAATGGAAAATCGAGCCACAGATAATAGATTGAAGGAGATCTGAGAAACATGTAGAATATTATTCATAATCAGTGATCGGGAAGATAAAGCAGAAACAGTAGAAGAGCCAGAATGAGCAATCGGAAAACCTAAACCATTGTCAATAGATACACGATCAGATCCATCATAATTAGAGTGTATTTGCAATTTATTCAGATCTGAAGTGAGGTTATGTGTTGCACAAGAATCAAGGAACCAAACATCTGTGTTCTACTTGTCACATCCTGATGTAGTCGTAAACGCCAGGGGTTGTGGTCGTTTAGGGTTCTTTAAACTCTCAATGTGTGCAATAAGTTTCCAACAATACCTGGCAGAGTGATTTCGTCCTCCACAATTTTGACAAGGATTATTGCTATATTTGGAGGGCTTAGTAGAACCATTACCCGTTTGTGAGGAATCAAATTTATTATATTTCTTGGAATCCTTTCCYTTAGAGGCAAGATTCGCAGAAGGAGAGCTAGCCTGTGTAGACACAATTACGGAATGAAGTAAACGATTTTCATGAGTGAGAAGCATACCTTGCAAGCTAGCAAATGATAATTCATCTGTTCGGGTAATGATTGTTATAGAGAAGGCATCATAGTCTGGACCGAGACCATTGAGGGCATGATGAATTAACTACAAATTTGTTAGGGGCTCACCAAATGTAGCTAGTTTGTCACCAAGTACCTTGAGTATTTGCAGATAGTCTAACATGGCAAGATTTCTTGCGTAGAGCTCTGAGTTCATTTCTGAGACCAACTGCACTAGCTATTCCTCAAAGAGAATAAAGACTCTCAAGCGTTTCCCAAACATCCTTGTTGGTTTTGCTTCCCACGACCTGCGCTAATGTTGTTTCTGTCAGAGAAGACAACAGCCAACTGAAAATATAATGATCATGTCTAACCCATTGTGTATAAGGTTCAATCAACGAGCGAGATGGAAAAGGGTTTGTCCCATCGACATATCCGAGGAGCTCATAGCTCAAAAGGGCATTCTCAACCTAAAAACGCCAGACAATATAGTTGGAACCATCCAACCGAACTGAAATCAATTGAGGAATGTGATTCCCCGATACTCCGAAGGTTATTTGATTGATCGAACTAGTAGACATGCTGGAAGACATGACGAAAAACTTGAAGAAGAAACTACTCGAAAATAAGAAAAGAAAGGAACTGTCTATGGCTCTGATACCATATGAGAGTAATAAGAGAGAGACAATTGATAATAATGGTCAAATATTTATTCTCCTTTCTTTGATGATTTATATAGAGTACAAGAAGTTCTATCTGAAATAGGATAGGTCAGATGCAATCCTAATTAGGATAACCCTTATCTTACTAGGATAGGTTTATCCTTTACAAAGATAATTTACAAGTGTATAGGATAGGGATTATCTACAAGAAGGAGAAGTACAGTAGGAAAGGTATTTACAGGATAAGAAGGAAGAAAAGTTTATGGGATGAAGTAGGAGTCTTGGGTGCATGTGCCATGCACGTTACTATGTTATCACTTATAGATCTCTCATTTTCGATTTGCATCTCTAATGGAAAAATAAAAAGAAACAGTATGGAAACACTCAGATCAGCAGCGAGACAAAACAAAGTGCAGTTGAAGAACTCAAAATGTTTTGTGCTTTTAATATCACCTGCAATTTCGATCACTGAATGGAAGGTTTTTAGAAATATTAAACGATCTCTAATGCTTCTCCTGTGGAAAAAGGAAAACAAAACAAAAGAAAAAGTAAGTGCCTAAGACGATGAACAAATGAGAGAAGAAAACCTCCAAAGAAAACAAATGGAAATATACAAATATTGAATCCCAAATTTCATATCTCGTTTTAAGATTATATCCCTAGAAGTAGGTGTTATTGTAGGAAAATCTCCCACACCGTCTTTGGATGCTGTACTCTACAAAAAACAATAAATAATGTTGAAAGAAATCATTTTGGATCCTCCAGCAACTGTTATGGCACTGACGATAATTCCCTTGGTTCTAATGCGGAACAATCTAGGGAAGGGAACGAAAAGAACCACTGCAAATGGTGGAAGACTCTAACGAAGGCAAGTTGTGGTTCCTTCATTCTACTCAGAATTTTCTAAAAGTATTGGTTCTTCTTTTATTCGTCTGAATCCATCATCTCTGCAACTGGAAGAATCTGCCCTAATAGGCACATTAGAAACAAAACCAGTAGTCAGTAGATTCTTCTGCAAAATGACCTTGTATTTTTTGCCTCTCTCTCTCTCTCTCTATAACTGGACCTTTTTCCTTAACAATTAGTTGCAGACGGCCGGAGGCGACGTGAAGAGTGGCCAAGGTTTTTACTGTTTGAAAGTTGAAGACAATTAGATGGGTCTATGATTTGATTAGAAATCCATCTAATAGATCGAATATTTAATTAGCCCATATGGATATATAAGACTTTGTAACTCCATTAGACAACAGTTATTTTATCAAAGAAGGGATGTCTCAGTCCAATTGAAAAAGTCAGGGGAGGTTTTAGTATTTAAAAGAAACTAAGGGAAGTTTTAAGTCTTTTACCCTAAAAAATTTTAATGGATTTGATGTTTTAAATTAAGATTATATATTTTTGTAAATTATTATTTAATAATTTAATTTACAATAAATGAGTAATTAACAACATATTGATTATTTATAGAAAAAATATTATTTAGAAAATTGACTTAATTTACATTAGTAATTTTCAAAAAGTTGAACTCACTGACTTAATTTTTAGCTACCTTACAAAATTAAAAGATAATAAAAATAAAAAATTTATTAAGTAATTAAAATATAATAGCATTTTATTTGTGTCTTGGATACTTTGGTTTTGGGGTATCATATATTTTGGTGGATCTAATACATCTTTAGTTTAATTATATAATAGATTGGCTGGTGTTTTTTAGTAAAGTTATTTTATACATATTTATTGATTGTAATCACAGTTCAAAGTATCAATACTTTTGGATATGCAAATTTTCACATATCTAGAGATTTTGAAATCAATTCTCAATTTTTTTATTCTTAAATCTATTAAAAAGCTCTAACAACCATTATTTAGCATTCCAGTGACAAAACCAAAATGTGTTGTATGATATGATAAGATGGATGTCAATACTTTGATCCATGATTGTAATACATTTCTTATGTATTTATACCTTATTCATACTTTTTTCAACCTAAGATTTGCTTTTATTCATGTATTTATGGATACATGGGATTTCATTAATATATTCCATTGTATTCACGTCTTTTCACTGATCTTTGTGTATTCAAGGCATATCGCAATACGTATCCATTTCTAATCTTTGATGATACCATACACAATATCGATACTTTGAACCCACACAATATTGATAGTTTGAACCTTGACAAAAAATTAAATGTATCTACAAGAGTTACTAAACCTGATTTTATGAAGCAGACTGCATGTAAAGACCTCACCTTTGGGACTGTCGGACAAGATGAGTGCCTCTCTAGTTGCATAGAAAATAAGAGAAACACAAATTTCCTCAATAAATACTTCAACATTTTCTATAAAACCAAATTAAATGTATTTGTGGATTAGTTGCTCCCTCATTTGTCGAGTTCGACTATGATGCCAGAAAGATATGATATTGGAAAATCTAACAATCAATCAACTAGAATCATAAAAAGTAGGAACCAATCAGTTGGATTTTCACCAAAATTCATGAGGGCTTGTGATTGGTCATACCCTTTCTGGTATCATGTTTTTCCGACATTATAGATTTTTCCAAATTTATAAGACTAAAAATTCTCTTGCAACTTAATAGCGTTGCCGTTGCTATGGATGAAACCATGAGCTTTAAGGCTATATTTGGTTTTATAGAAAAGGGAAAATGTATGATATAGGAAAGATGTGATATAAAAGATTCGACTATCATATGAAAAAGATATGATATCAGAAAAATATTTGACCAATCAACTGGAATCATAAACCTGTAAGTGGATTGGTCAAAATTCATGGTTGGGCTTTGATTGGTCAAAATTATTTCCATACCATATCTTTCCTGTATCATAGATCTTCCCTTGTCACTCACCGAATTTTTTATTTTAAACTGGACTCAAGGGCAGAGAGCGACAGATTGATTACTGATGAACGTGAACCCACCTATTCCCGAGAACTTTCCTCTGAAGAATTGACGTCGAGTTTTGCTCAATCTGCACCCATTTAACCTTACCTAGCCCCCATAACTTGCCACTTTGCCAGCTGTCCCACTTTTAAAAGAATCAGGACTAAATCAAGAGTTGTACCATAAACCAGTTAAATTACATGATTCATATAACATTCTGCTTTTGGTTTTATTTGAGGACCAATATAATGGGATCTGATTCTGCATAGGACGTGGCAAACGTTGAGGACCCTATAACCTCTTTGTCGAAGAGGTCCTAGCTTTGGCCTTTTTCCAAATGAACCACTGATTCATATTGATAACCGTCTCATACCATTTAATCTCTTCTTTCATTATTAACGAACCTAATTTCTTGGTAATTCAATGGACATCACACAGGATGATGCACCGAACACGATATACTAAATGCCAAATAATGAATCAGCATGAAGCATGGGATGAGAAATGTAAAATACTGCTATTTACCAAGGAATCCAACAATCATGCGATAGATATCTAACACCTATTCACTTAGAAGTTAGAACCATTCTTCCACCATCTGCCGCTATGCTCAACATCTAAATCACTGATCATATATTTTGCCCTCACATCCAGCAAAGAATACGATTATATAATAAAATCAATCCCAATTTAGATTTTCTATGCACACCCAAGGTGGAATAGTGGACATTGGTGAAATTTCCGAGCCTTAGTTTAGAAGTGTATTATAAACATGTCACACAATCAAATCCCATTCATCAAACAGCATCCTTGCAGCACAGTTTGACAAAGAAAAGAAGACAGAAGCAGCAGAGTGAACAATTAAGACCAAGGTGTCACAGGACCAACACAGCATTACAGACTATATATTGGTGTATAAGTGATTCAGTTTATACTATCCATCTTCAACTAGAAGTAGGTACCTTCAGGGGGCTGAACCAACTTCCGATTGTGCGGGGCTGCCATCTCCTTCTTCAGTTGTGTCAAAATGTCTTCCATGGTATATTCCCGCTGCCAATTTGCTAGCATCCCAAATTTCTTTGCCTCTACCTAGAATATCAAAGTTACACATCAGAGTTCTACTGTATTCCTTTAGAAACATAGGTTCAGATTCTTTTCAGTAAACACAGGTTCAGATTTTCTCATAGTCCAACATTTGCTGGAATTATGTGTGGACTCCGTCCCTTTCAGTAAGTACAAATACTTGAAATGTAGTAGACATTGGATTTGGATTTCCAACTTTGAACTTGCATGTCAGTGCATAAAACAAAATACCTAAGCTTTTCCTGTAGGCATACATATCCATGAGCTCCAATAGAGTAATAAATAAACTCCTCTCTAATTTCCCACCTCAACAATCCAGGTAATTCCACATAGAAGATTTCCTAATAGTTATACAATTAAACATCTTTCTGAAATGTTGGTTGCCCTTTTATAAATTATCCAACAAAATGCAACTCTACCAAGTAAACCATTTAATAATCTGGATAAGCACATAGCAGAAGTGAAGAAACTTTCTCACTTCAAAGGGTCAAAAATCATATAGAATAATTGTAGCATAAGATAAATGTTAATGGCAGTACCAGTATATCAGCCCAATTTCAATTAGGGAAAGAAATGAAGCAACTCATGGTGCACTTATACAGACTGCAGTTTTCACCCATTTCACCCACTGGAAAGGGGGGGATCTACATGGATCAGACTCAGAATTTGGAACATCAATGTGTTATAAATACCATTCCACAATGGAAGACTGTACCACACCATCATCAGTTAGATTAAGGATAATGGCTAAGAACAATCAGATAAACAAATACTTGTTAAAATTTTACCACTCCCGTCTCATGGTTTACGCAAGTCATATTGATCCTTGAATGGAAACGAACACTTGGAGGCTTATCTGGGTAATCTTTGTCACAGAATAGTTTCAATTGATAAATACGACCTTCATGCACAGACTGCAGTGAAAACAATGAGCTTGTAAGCTATCTATATCAGAGAACAAGCATTGAAACAAATCTATCAAGGGGATTATTTAACCAATAGTCAATAAAAAGTCAGAAACAAGCCCAAACTTAGGAATCACTTTAGCCTATGTATCACTCAATAAGTACAAGTGAACATTTATTACTTATACTTTTAAGCTTCCCAAGTATATTTCGAGAGCAATCCACATTGACTACGGACAACCACAACCTTAGCCACCAATCAGAAAAGAGGGGAAAAAAAGATCACAACCTTAACCACAATTTTTACCCAAGTCAGGAATATCATAGGGTTTCTTGAATGAGCATGCCAACTGCAACAAAATAAGTAATTCTACTTTTGACATACAGTAAAGAAATACTACACTATGAACCATTATACAAAGTGGGAACGCTAACCTGCTTATTTGCAAAATGAGATTATGTAAGGGAAAAGGCTATTGTCTTCTGCACTGCAGATGCTGTTGCCTGCATTAACAGGGATTTACTGCTAGGTAAAGGGCAGAAATAACAGATCACATCCTTCCGGATTACCCACTTGTATGTATACTGTCTTTGACCATAAGCTCAATAGTCTTCCATGTATTTGACGTTTTCCTGTATTTTGTCCCCTAATTGTCTCAAACAAGCCCATTGCCACATGGGAGATGGCTATCTAAGTATCTAGCTAAACCCAACCAAGGTTAGAGTGACAGTAAGACACCCCAGGATTCATTTTAGGCTATAACACAATTCTCACATGTGAAAACATGAAGAAACAGGATTTAAAATGTCCATTTTGGGCAGCAGATTTGCCCAAGCTCACAATACAACAATCTGCCAAGAACTAATAATCAACTGTTATGCTTTTGGTGTAGATGTGAAGAAGGGGAAAGAAACTATGGAAGAGACCAAATTTCTACAGATTCTTGCATTAGTGTCAATTTAGGAATTTTTTGGTGATTTAACTTTTTGCCAATTTTAGTTCTAGTTTGCTTGGGTCACAGGAACAGAGTAAATCATCCTAAAGAGCAATAGTAGTTTAAAATCTGTTCATTTTGTTAGCATTTCGCCTCTCTAATGGTATGCACACCAAAGAGCTGTCCTGCGTATCCAGCTAATTATAACTTGGGAGCCCCCTTCCACTTGAAGTTGTCTAGAACTAAGTTGAAACCAATTTGAGCCTTGAAGAATAGAGGCCAGTTGCCCTAATGCATTCAGTTCCTCTTTGCCAATAGGTCTATACCTTCAAATGATACCCCATTTGATCTTCTATAGATACCACCAACACCAAAGAGCTTGTCTGTCTATAGCACGGCCATCAAATTTAGCTTGCTACTTCCCAGTGCTGGAGGTTCCAATTGTATTCCTTTAGCCTATAGATCCTAAATATCTTTTATAGTTTCATCTCATTATAGAAAAACTACAAGGAATGGACCAAAACTTTCCATAAAGTAATTTTATAACCAGAACAAATATAAGAACAAGGACAGCATATAACCGAAACTGCAAATAGAAAGAAAACAAGCAAGGGCAGCAGAAAAGAAAGGTTGATAGAGGCTAAAGCCCACTACATCAAAATGAAGCAAGTAATGTAAACTACATCAAAGAAATAAGTGTGTATTAAAAGAAAACAAAGAATGATGGAAATTGGCATGATAAAACATAGTAACATCATTATAGTGGTAAAATTTGAAGTAATGGTAAATAGATATCAAAGAAAGGGAAGCTTACGTTGTGAGGACCAATTATAGTACCCGTCCAAGAACGCATGTAAATATCATCTCCGTCATCCATTCCATAGCTAACAGTACCATCTCCAATTCCCTTCTCTCCACGTTCAAGTTCCTCCAGCAATCTGAAATTTCGTGGGACTGCACAACCACATAAAGGCCATAAGGTGCCCCATTCTTTAGCAGGTGAATTGTACAATGTCTCCAAGGTTTGCAACTTTGCATACCAAGTGCATGCATTAATATCTCTCTGTAAAACCGTAAAAATCACGTGAACATTTTTTACATACTGGGTTTGACAAACCATCATCGTATAAGCCTTGCCTCAACTATAATGGGGTCGGTTACATGAATCCTGTTCCACCATTTTTTTATTAATACATGTTCCACCATTCTGTTCTGTTCAATGCCATATACATTGATTTGGCAAATCCTTTTCTTGAAAAACAAGGTGCATTCCTAGTGAAAAGGACAAAAGAGAGCTCTACTTTTTTTTATGAGTAAAAAAATGAGAGCTCTCTTCAAAATGATACAAATTAATAAATGAGAAATTGAGGACATTTTTGTCTTTTGCAAGATGTACTCTTGGAGTAAGAATTAGGTGTTCCCCCCTTATCAAAAAAATTGATATGCCAACTGCTGAATCAGCACCATTTTATGGGTTTCAGGAACAGTGATTGCAGGTTGTAGCTCAAATGTGCATGAACCTTTGGGGAGTATGAAGCTCACAGTATAGCACATTTCTTCCAATAGTTCTTATAACTAGGAATATCTGAGGTATGGATCCACAGTATGAACAGTCTTAGGCCCATTAGTATCCAGTATCTAACTTCTAAAGAACACACTAACGAGACCCTACCTAATAGATTAAATGACCCACAAATCAGCATGAACAGATGATTTCACGTACTTGTTTTTTACTGTTATTAAAGCTAATAATGTTCGAAGAACAAAAGAAAGATCAGGTGGTGCAAAACTCATCCAATAATGTTGATCTTTTTGTGTATTGCCAGCTTCTACAAGGGCCATCCCATGGTGGCTCCTGATCCTCTGACAATGGCCATATTGCTAAAGGGGGGCAAGATCCACCTTATGATCCAATTGCCTCAGATCCAAGGCGCTCCCATTATCATTAGGAAGTTATTTACCGAAATGCCTTCATTTTACCAAACAAGAAGTAGCAACACCAATGGTTACAAGTAATAAAATAGCCTTTCTTTAGAGAATCATAACTTGTGAACAAATATGTAGTACCCTAGAGATGATTATGCAAAATTACAAACACACCATCCAGTGTAAATAAAAGCCTCAAATACATCGAGATGGCTGTCAAGAAATCTGATATCATCAACTTTCATTGCCAATGAATCTGGTGACCAAATACTTTCCAGAAAAGAACACGTACAGCAAAACAAGATTGCACACCTTTATAAATTATATTCAACATGTCCTGAATTTTCAACATCTGTGAGTCCCTGACTATTTGTGCATTTGTTGATGAATACATATTATTACAGAGTAAAGTATGAAGCATGAGAATTCCATAAGTATGGTACTCCATAATATCCCTCTTTCAATGACAGGATGGGTGAGTAGATCTTATGTAGTGTATAAGCTACATTTAACCCAGAGTTTCAATTCATCCTTGATCAAAAACCTAAAGTGGAAATGATCATTTCTAAATTGGGTCAAAAGCAGCAAAGAAAGGTAAGAATTGCCTGTGTCATATAAATCCATACTGGGTTAGAGGTAAGAATAGCTATTTTTTTATATCAAGGATGAGAAGTTTCATCAAAGAAGAAAAGAGAGAATGTATAAAATCCAAGCCTCCAGCTGTGCAGAACATAGCTGTACCCATAGTTTTCAAGGTGGCAAGGTGAGAATAGATGATAGGGTTAACCTTGCTGCTTAAAATTAACACTTACAAACTAGTTAGGTAAGGGGCCAAGGGGCTTCTAAAAAATTAATACCTATAATTTATTGGATGTGATTCCAAATGCAGTCAAACCAAGATGAGCATGTCATAAAGATTGGCAAAAGACTAAAAATGTGGAAAACTTGGAAAGATATAAAAAGACAAAGAAGGAAACTAAAAAGAAAGTAGAGCTAAATTAAGGCATATGACAAATTCTTTTATAAGCTAGGTACTAAAGAGAGAAGTTGAATTTATAAACTTATGAAGATAAGAGAAAGAAAAGGCAAAGATTTAGATGGCATTGTATGCATCAAAAACAGATAAGTGATCTCAGTGATGCATGAGGAAATCAAGGAAAGATTGAGCTATTTTCAAAAATTACTAAATGGATAAAATATAGAGGGTCTAAGCAAAGAGATTAGTAGCTCTAACATAACTAGAAATGTAAAATTAAAGTTTCCAATGTGAAGAAGGCTTTAATAAGATGAAGGGACAGGCATTAGGGCCCAATTCTAGTTTGTCTAAAAATGTATGGAGGAGATAAACCTATATGGTAAACAAAACTATTTAATAAAATAATGATAACAAAAAAAAAATGATAAATAGATGTAGAAAGAGCACAATGGTACCTATATTAAAAACAAAGACAATATATAAATTTGCAATAATCATTGTAAGATTAAACTCATGATCAACACTATGAAACTTTGGGAAAGAGTAATTAAACAAAGATTGCAAGGACATACTATAGCAAAAATCATTTGGAGCTGTATCCCCTCTGCAGTATGCAGGGAGGTTTGGAAGGAAAGAAATAAAAGAATTTTTGAGGGAAAAATGAAAAGTAATGAAGAATTAGGAGCGTTAATTAGATCAAGAACAATCAGTTGGGTTCTAATTCTTCCAGAATTTGAAGGCCTTAGTAAAGAAGACTTTGCAGCTGAGTTTTGGCATACCTGAATGCTTGATCTTTGTATCTAGATATGAGCATTGCTTGTTTCATTGTTGGATTTCAGTTTTGTTTTGTTGTTTGCTGACATCTTGTCACCTAGAAGTTGTACCTTATGGCTTTTGGTGTATTGGTCAAGCACGCAACATTTGGTATCAAAGCCTACCACCATGTCTCAAGTTCAAGCCACAGAGAAGGCTACCTAGGAGGACTACCTAAAGCAGAGTGAAAGCTACCACAGAAAAGGCTACCTAGAGGCAGATGTTCTGGGGAGGGCTACCTAAATCAGAGTGCATTTGTTCTGAGGATGCAAACGCTAGACTCAGTTCTTATAGCTAATGAACTCATTGACTCCAGAAGAAGAGAGAGAACTCCGGTTTTGATCTGTAAACTTGATATTGAGAAAGCTTATGACCATGTTAACTGGAGATGCCTGGTCTTTGTGCTGGAAAAAATGAACTTCGGGCCATAGTTGTCAAGGCGACGCCTAGGCAACAAGGCGCCTTTGGAGGCTCGCCTCGCCCAATCACCTAGCAGCTTTGTATACAGTCTTATAAGATACTTTTATATTGTTACTTTTTTGAGATTATAATTATAAAAGACATTATTAAACAAAAAATATTCATTTTTTGTGTTTATAAACTAATTTCTTTTTATTATTTTCTTATTTGTTAGGGTTTAATCAACACAAACATTGCTAACTGTTGTATTGAACCCTCAAAGACTTAAGAATTTGAACCAATAAGGGAAAAACTTAAAGTTTCGTCTAATCAACACATTTCTTCCTCCACTTCTTCTTCTTCTTCTTCTTCTTCTTCTTCTTCCACCTTTTCTTTTCTTCTTTTCCTATAACAAAAATAGGGGTTCAGTCCCCATATTGTTTGAATTTTCTTTTCTTTCTTCTTTTTCTTCTCATAAATATGTTGATTTTCTAGACATAAACATGAAGTTTGAAAATTATGGATAGTTATTAAGGAAAGATGGTTATGGAACCTAGGGAACTACCTAGGATATGTATTTTTCACTTAAAAAAATCCATCGCCTAGGCAGCACCTAGGCGCCCGCCTAGGCGACTAGGCGACAAGGCGCCCCCTATCGCCTAGCCTTGCCTTGGCGCCTTGAAAACTATGTTCAGGCAGAAATGGAGATACTGGATCAAAGTTTGCATCACATCTCCTAAATTCTCAATCTTGACTAATGGGCAATCTACAGGGTTTTTGGACAGCTCCAAAGACTTGAGACAGGGTGATCCCCTTTCTCCCTTGCTGTTCATTTGTGTCATGGAAATTCTCACACTTTTTAGCAAGAAGGTTGCAGTTTCGGGTTGTTGGGAAGAGTTGCAATCTCCCCTAAAAGGGAAAATGTCAATATCCTTCAATTTGCAGATGATACTTTATGCTTAGTTGATGCCTCTCCGAATCAATTGGAGATTGTAGTTGTACTTGGAATTCTTAGCTGGTTTGAAATGGTTTCTGGGCTCAAAGATAATTTGAGTAAAAGTCAGATTATCCCAGTGGGCCAAGTCTCAAATTTAGATGAATGTGCTGAGGTGATGGCTTGCTAGGTCGAGTTCCTCCCAGTGAAGTATTTGGGGTTGCCTCTTGGGGCAAAATGGTCTTCCTTTTCGGCTTGGGTCCCAAGCATTGAAAGATTGGAGAAAAAACTAGCTTCTTGGAAGGCAAAATAAGAGTGACTTTGATAAAGAGTACCCTCTCTAACCTACCCACTTACTTTCTTTCTCTCTTCCCTATCCCAAATAAAATAGCAAAATGACTGGAGCATAGGGGTTGGGAAGAAGAAAAGAAAATTCACCTCATCAAGTGGGATCAAGTGTGTCTCCCTAAGGAAGAAGGGGGACTGGGAGTAAGAAATTTGAAGAATTTTAACTCAACTCTTCTCAATGAGTGGATATGGAGATTTGCTTCTGAAAGGCATGCTTAGTGGAGAAACCTCTTAGCTGCTAAGTATGGGGTGGAGTGGAGTAATTGGAGATCAGTGGAACAGAAGAACCCCCTGGTATCACTGTAAGTAAATTATCCCATCCACCTCTAACTCCTCCACAGTGCCTCTCTATCAGTTCCTTCAATGGAATACTCATCTCCCCTTCAACTGTACAAGGCTTATTCACGTGGCTTGAGACACAGAATAGCTTTGTCCCATAATTGTTCTTCCTGCCAAAACTAGCAAACCATTCAGGACCATGCCTTAAAATGGTGGGGAAAACAGCCACAGTTTCAACATTTGTAACAGTTGTTGGACATCCATATAGCCCTGCATTAGCTGGAAAAGGAGGCGTCAACCTTGGTTTTCCTTGTTTTCCTTCAAGGTTTTCCAACAACGCCGTCTCTTCTCCACAAATGTAAGCATCAACTCCATAGTGGATATGAACATCAAAATCATATCCAGATCCACATGCATTTTTTCCCAAAAGTCCAACTTGATAAGCTTCCCTCCTTGCCTTCTCAAGGTTTTTCCGCTCATTTACATACTCTCCCCTTATGTAGATATAAGCAGCAGTGGCCCGCATACCAACCCCTGCAATCAGGCAACCCTCTAGTAGTTTATGTGGGTCATGGCGCATAATTTCTCTGTCCTTACATGTTCCTGGCTCACTCTCATCAGCATTGACAACAAGATAAGAAGGACGGCCATCAGATACTTTTGGCATGAAAGACCACTTCAGGCCAGATGGAAAACCAGCTCCACCACGGCCTCGAAGACCAGATTTCTTCATTTCATTGACAATCCAATTAAAGCCCTTAAGTACCGAGTCTTTAGTTCTATAACAGTCACCCCGCTTCATGGCACCGTTCAGGAAAGGGCCGTGCAACCCATTAACAAATGCTGCTTCAAGGACTGATTCCGACAGGTCACGTAAGGGAGCGGAGAGCACCTGGAATTGGCGACGATATCCCTTAACAGTAGAAGAATGATGTAACGAGAAGAGCTACTCCTGTAAATTACCCTCCTGAATCGATCGAAAACGTTCAAGGAGAAGCTCTTTGAATTTTGTCCAACCACGAAAAGGTCGCCGACCAACTTCCCGATAATACCACGCCAATGCATCACCCTCTAAACAGACAACTGCAACTCGCAGACGCTCTGCCGGAAGCAATCCATTAATCTCAAAATAGCACTCCGCACGAAAAAGCCAGCCGTCTGGATTTTCCCCATCAAAAATAGGTAACTCCAACTTCCGAGGAAGTGAATCAGAAGTATGTTCCGACACCGACATTGAAGAAGACGTCGGGAAAGCTGCACTCTTCCCTTTGTCAGCCGCACGACTTGATGCGACTAAAGGAGGAGCAATGTCAGTTGTAGACAAAGGAGCTGAAAAGGTCTGTTGCTGAAGCAACAGATCAAAACGTCTTACCAGATCTTGAACGCCACCTTCCAAAGACGAGATCTTCGAAAGTCCAGCTGCTACCTTTTTTGGATCGAGTCGTTGAATCTCATTACGTAAGCCATCCATCTCCACACGAAGTTCAGAATGCAGAGAAGTCAAGCATTCTTTGAAACCCTCCACCTGCGATGCCACTTCCTTAGCTGTCACCATGGCCGAGGAAAGACGGGCTCTGATACCACTGTTATGTCCCAGAAACTTGACACACAATTCTCAGACTCACAGCAGAATTCACACAACTAGAACATCAACATAGGAATTGGTATTCATTCAAAAGAAAAGAAGAACATTAAACAGTTGGTCGGTTCTTCGAGAGACCGCCAGCTCTCCCAATCATTCATAGTATTCTTCACTCAACAAAAGCCTACCTCCCCCATCCCCCAAAGCCCCTTCTTATACTCTTCTCACAACATAACTGACTCCCTCAATAAATGCCCAGCTGGCCAAGTTATAAATGCCCAACACTCTTCTTATTCCTAACTGACATAGCTATAAAAGCCTCAAGACTCTCCTTATTCCCTGCAGCTATAATTGCCCCCATGTGATTAATTGTTCAATTATTCCCCCCCCCCTTAGCCGATTGTTGACATTTCCTCTTCCTGGCATACGTAAGGTTAATTGGGGGCCTATCAGTTTATGATCAGACAACTGAATGGTTTGCAACCAGTGGCTCTTGCACCACTTCTCCCACATATTCCACCCAATCCTTTGTGCACAAAAATCTATCTAATCTTCTAAGGATGGCTAGAACCTGACCATTGGACCAGGTAAATCTTCCTCCATTCAGTGGTGGATCAATCAGCTCATTATTGCTTATGAATTCTTCAAATCTTCTATTCCAACAGATGTCCTCCTTTCCCTTCCCCTTTTCATTTCAAATATCCTCCTTACTACATTGAAATCTCTGCCCACAGAACACGACCCCTCCCACTTCTGCCTCAGCTCTCCCAACTCCTCCCAGAACTCCACTCTCTCCCCTTCCTCATTTGGGCCATACACGTTTGTTATAGTTATACCCCATCCCCAATCTCCGTTCACTTCTTGTAGGCAAACTGACACAGAATATGTTCCCACCTACTCCCCTACCTTTGTGAAAACCCCTGGATCCCAGATAATTACTGCTCCTCCTGAAAGTTCCAAGGCTTTTGAGTTCCACCCACTCTCCTCCCCCTGCTCCCCAAATTTCAGTTTTCAGCTTCAAGTCAAAGTATTCCAGCTTTGATTCTTGTAGCAGCACCACTTCTGGATTCTGATTTCCAATCAAGTTCCTCACTAAATCCCTCCTTCATCCTTCCCTCAAGCCCCTCACATTCCAACTGAGAATCTTCATCTTCCTCCCCTTCCACCTACCTTACCCCCCAAATTCCAACCTTCACTCGTTTTCGTCCAGACTTTCCTCTTCTCCCCCTTCCTCGTCCCAACCCTTATTTTTTTCTAAGCTCTCCTTCCTTCTCTCTTTCTCTTCCCTCTTCTTTTTTTCAAACTTCCCAAAAGCTAGCTTCACAAAACCTTCCCCTCCCTAAAAGAATAAACCAAGGGAGTTTCCTATCTTGACCTCCCTCTCAATCAATTTGTCGAAGTTCACCAATGGGGAAAGGGAAGTTTAGCATGCCTTCATTTCCTTAACCTCATTTATAGCATGTATTTTTGTGTAGAAACTTTGGAAAAGATGAAATGGGAAGAGTTGAGATAAGAAATAAAAGGCAAACTTCAAGAAGAAGTGCAAATATGAATTATATGAAGAAATTAAAGCACATACTTTATTCAATAAAATCTATAAGCTTACTTATTTTCCTATACGTACATAGAAACTTAGGAAAATCTTTTAAAAGGGCATACACTAATAGTTACTTCATGTAACCACATGATGGTTACATCAAAAAGACCAATCCTGTGCCAAGAATGCCCGTCGTAACACGTTAATCAATAGCAGTAGGTGTGTTTGGTAAGCAAATTACTACGCAAATGAATGAAAAGGTAAAAGTGATTTCTTAATTGACTGCAAACAATCGCTTTTTCACGTCATTTGCTACATTCACTTTACTAATGGACGCTACTATATAACATACACCAAGAGAATAAAAGATTTTCTAATCTACAGATATCGAAACCTTCGCTACATGTCATGTTAGAGGAGATAGAGTATGAAAAAACTAGACGAATGGACCAAAAACAAATTAAAGTAAAAATCCGTTGAGATCATCGGGCTGAAAAAGAATACAGTGAGAAGATATTCTTAAAATAGAAGCCAGGACGAGAAGCACAGTTGCTCAAAAAACAATGTACCAGTTGAACCCATACGAATAACTAAACAAATCATCATCAAGAACCCATTGATTTACGCATCAGAATGAATAAGAATGCAGTACCAAAAAAACTGAAAGCAACCCATGAAATCCAAGACTAAATTGCGAATACGGGAAGAAAATCTGAAACTAAAATAAACCCATGAATAGATTTTGATTAAACGTCATAGGAAACTGGTTTTTAAGATGATTTGCTGAAATAGCCAATCGTGAGTTGAAGCCTCACCAACGACACTCGATCCACCTGAGCCAATCGTCATTGATGATAGTAATTTTCCTCTGCTGCTGCTGTTAGAAGATTTGATCGAGGTCAGGGTTTTTGGAGTTGAAATAAGAATCTGTCTTGGAAGCCAAAAGAGGGAACAAAAGAAGTAAAAGGGGTTTGGGGTGAATGTTAATGCTACCGAAACTCGAGTGGCGCTACCCGAGTAATCAGGGCACGGATACAACTCTGAAAAAAAGGACAAAACAACAGAAATCTTTATTGACCATAGTTTCCCTAAACTGTTGTCCCTTTGCAAGATGCATTGACGAAAATGTTCATGATTCTCTCTATTGACCATAATGCCCCTAATTTATTGTTTACTCGAGTTAATTGAAGGAATAAAGTTTTTTTTGGGTAAATTTCTTAAACTATCCTTACGGTTCTTATGGTTTAGCTAATTCACTAATTACACCCTTATTATTTGACTATTGTCTAATGCTACCCTATTGTTTCGAAAAATTACCATTAACGTTAAAATATTAATGAAAGGGCTAAAATGTCCATTTTGCCCTCCTAATTGATTTTTAGTTTCCAACATGCCATCACACCCAACACTATTGTCGTCGTTGATTTTTCCAGCAGAAGTATACCCACCTCAGACTCTTCCCATCACTGATCCACCTAACCACCGCCCTCGCAAACCGCCCAACCAACTCTCATCTCATCACTCACATCACCGATGGGCTTGTTGCTTTTTCCTTGTTCCTCTTCCTCGATGTGCTCTACTAGAAGCTTTCTCGAAAAAGGATGACCCTGTCCAATCTGAAGCCCCCACACCGCTTCTTCTTCCCTTTTAATGTGAGTCCAAGTCCAGATAATGATTGTTTGTTCCATTTCTTCTTCCCATTATAGCAAATGGATGATAGCGAAGCTTACAAGATCCAGCTCAACAGAACCATCTCCATCGGCCTTCTTCCCCAATCTCAAATACCAACTACAAGAGGAAATATAGAAGGAATGGCCTTCTTCTCGTGCGAAACTACCGCTCCCTCTTTTTATTCTCCCATCTCTCTCTCTCTCTCTCTTTCTCTCTCTCTCCCCCCTTTCTTCCATTGTTAGATTTTTCTTTTCCCCTTCATTCTCTCCCTTCCTCTATTTCAATCGTCGCCGCTTTGTAGTGGCGGAGCGACGCTCTTAACACACAGTAATAGTGACAACCGGGCAGGAGCGGCGGCGTCACCGATATCTACTTCAGTAGATCGCTCTCTCTCATTTCATACTCTTCACTCTACATCACTCTCTCTACCTCTCTACATCATTTTCTTTTCCGCATCTTCCTCTTATATGTTCATCACCCCTCTCCCCTTCCTCATCCATGCCATTTCTAGCATCCCAATCAAGTACCAATCATCTTTTTATCCCTTTGGTCGTTGGCTGAGCAGAATTGAACATGCTATAACCTCCTCATTATAGCATCACATTGTCGGTCTGGGATTGGGATATGAGGTTGTTGCCTAGTTTTATCCGTGTGTTACAACATCACACAACTGCGCTAAAGCCTCACTATTACAATCATTCATTTTATCCGTTGTTGCCTAGGTTTGTTTTTTTTCCTTTGTTTTCCTTAGCTTAGCTTCTCCATATCATTACTACAATTGGGATATGAGGTTGGGGAAGAAAGTTGACGGGTGTGTGTACAAGATTTGAGATTTAGACTTGATCTGACCATAGGAGGAGCATGGAGCCTAAGTCTTTCAGCATGGAGTCTACGTACAGGAGGTGAGATTTTCCGATTAATCTCTACTATAGCAGTAGAACATGAACTCTCATATCATTAGATCTACTTCTAGGACTATTAGGGCCATTCTTTCTACTTCTAGGAGCTCCAACTGCAATCTCATTCAGAGGAAAGGTGACTTCTTCAGCTTCATTTTATGGAAGGGATGAGGTTGCAACGGTGGCAATGCCTTGGTTGATAGTCCAATGTGCAAGGAAAGAGGTGAGGAGAGAGAGAGAGAGAGAGAGAGATTTAAAAGGGTATTTTGGGGATTTTTGAAAAAAATATGGTCACATGATGTCATATGTGACTGAGTGTGACAGAAAGTTAACGGTAGGGGAGGTTTTAGTCAATTGTCAGAAAACTTAAGGTACTCCAAGACAATAGTTAAACAGTAAGAGCAGAGTTAGTCAACTAGCTAAACAGTAGGGATAGTTTAAGAAATTTACCCTTTTTTTACAGCAATGGAAGGAATAAAGGGGATGTTTGGTTTTGTTGGCGTTTATTAAAAGAATGCTATCACATCAACGCCACATAGGCATTGGCGTTTATTGCAAATGAAGCAAAATGAAACAATTGTTTGGTTCCACCATTTTATCGAATAAATGGTAGAAAACTGAAATACTTTGATTTTTTTTGCATGGGGCATTTGGGGAAACGTCAAATCCTTGTTTCCCCCAACGCCCCAGTGTTTCTTGAAACCAAATGCTGATGTGGCAAACTTTAATGGGTATTTAATCTGAGGTGGAGAGTAAAAAATGTTTAAAGTGAAGTTCAACCAAACAACAAAAACAGGAAACATTTAAAGTGAAAAAGTATAAATAAATGTTTAAAGTGAAAAAGTGCAAATAAACGCCCTATCCATAAACGCCCACGGAACCAAACACATACAAAATTACAAGCACTTTGGTTATCCTTAGCCCATGATTCTCTCTAACAAGGGTATTTTTAGGGGTTGAATTGGTTTTTACAAAAATCAATTATTGCTTTATTAGAGAAAAATGACTTATTGCTTTTGTATGAGAATAAATAAAATAATAATTGTAACATATTTTTTAGGAGTATACAAATTTATCCAACATGTCATCTAGACATTTTTTTAAGATTGCCATCTAGCCATTAAGCATCCCACAATCTACTTAATGACTTCTTAAAAAGCAATAAAATCATTCATTCAACCACTTTCAATCTTTATAAAAAATGTGTTTTTCTTAAGTAAGAGATGAAATGTCATTAGATAAAAAAACAGAGTTAAGCCTCAAACTAGCCATTACATGCATCCAAATATTGATGCATTCTATCACAAAAAGGAGACAAACCATTACTTTTTTTTTTGATAAGTAAATAAGAAATTTTATTAAAGAAACAAAAAGATATTACATATAAGGGTGGCAAGTTGTCACCTGATTACACAAATCTTAAGATTGATAAACAAATTCCACATTACATATTTGAAAACCCAAGATATGGTAGGATCAACACCCAATCTCTCACAGAGCTGCCCATAGCCACAACCACTTTTGTCCATCCTGTATGCTTTGTCTTCAAAGATCCTCATGTTCCTCTTCTTCCATATGTTCCAACAAACTGCAAATGAGATACAACTCCATAACACCTTCACCTTCTTACTCCTACTCAACCTAGGCCAATTTGAGAAAATCGAGGCACATACAAGAAGCTTGAGAACTGTCGGAAATCCCCTCCCCCCAAACCCCAAGGCCCCCACAATTTCTCCTTGCATCTTCCAACTCCTCCCACAACTCCTCTCTCTCCACTTCTGTAGTTGGCCCATACACACAAGAGAACCCCCACTGCCACCCCCCTTCCACCATCTAAAAGCATATTGAGATGGTGGCACTCCCCTCCCCCCAGTAGTCCTTCTATTCTTCTTCCATCCCATCGAGCATGATAATTTCCCTTCCCCTTCCTCCCCTTCTTCTTCAGAGAATCCCCAATTATCCCTATTTTCCTACCCCTCTCTTCTAGCCCTTTTTTACTGATCTATAGCCTAACTCACCACATCTTCTCCTCCTAGGAAAAATAGACCCAAAGTTTTGCTTACCTCTATCTGTCTTTCTACTGGCTCTTCTATATCCACCTTCCTCTTTCCCACAAATGATTCTTGTATTTCTTCCACCCCTTCATTCTCCTCCTGGTTGTGTCTTTTTCTCTCCCCTTAAGTCCTCTCTAATTTCACCCTCTCCCAATTTTCCTTCCCACTTTTCTTGAATTTCTTATTTATGTTATAAATTATGTTTTTTTCCCTACACCCCTCTCTTCCTTTTTTGTGCCAAATTTCCTAACTCCTACAACAAAGGTTGTCTTTCCTGTCCCTTTGATTTCAATCCCTGAATTACCCATATTTAAAGAAAAAGCAAAAACAGAAGATTTCTCAGGAGGAGAAGCAATACTAATTGTTGAGCTTCCTTGTCGCTTGCTAGTAGGAGCTAGCTTCAACTCCATTTGACAATCCCTATTCTCCTGCCAGAGGGGAAACTTTTTTACTCAAGGTTGCTGCCACCTTTATGCTTTCCGCTTGACCTTCAATTAATATCTCCACCCTAACATCTTCCTCCCAAGCTCCAGAGACGTCAACAACATCTGTATTGTTTGCCTTTGGAAGTTGACCATCACTTGTCGATGTTTTCTCTTTCTCTATTGATGCTATAACCACCCCCATTTCTCCCTTGTTTGTGTCTGTTCGAGTGAACACCTCCCCTCCCTCCCAAACACCAATCTTCTTGTTTCCTTCATACCTAGTTATCACCCAGACCCAATCCTCCCTTTTAGTCGATTTCATCTTTCTATTAAGAAAATATGAGTCAGGTTTTCCTCTCTTCAAAGATAAACATGAAATTCCTGGAATATCCCTTGTGTCTTTGACCTTTTGCCCCTTCCTCTCTTTTTAAACTCTACTGATAACCTCTTGAAGTGGTGGTCCTTTTCCCTTTTCAAAGAAAAACACAATTGGCCATAAACGGTTGCTCCCTCCCCTTCTTCTCCACCCCCCATATGATTCCTTGTCATATATTGGGTCCACATCCATACCCTCCACCTGTCCCTCCTCTTTCCCATTACTAGCCACCCCTTTGTCCACGTGTTCCTTCTTTCTTGAGATTGATTCTCACTCAACACCTTCTTCCTCCTCTCGACTTTTCAACTCCCCCTTACTTCGGCCTTGCCTTTGTTTTGACCTTTGGTTTCCCCTATGTTTCAAAGTGCCCAAAGTCTAACTCAAGTTTCTCCTTTTTGTGGTTTGAATGTATCTTCTCCGCTTAAAAAGTTTCATCAACTCCTTCCACCAACAATCTCAACTCATACAACTCCCCTACAAACTCCAGATTCAGCCTTCTGGGTACGTTTGTAGGATTCTCCACTTCAGCTATAATTCTTGCAACACCTAACTTCTCCCCACGTTCTATTGTGATTGTCAAATTTTAGGAAATTTCCATAGGTTGTTGCCACTTCTTTG